GGACTGCGATAGGCTGATGATGACTACAGGTCTGCGCCAATTCTCTTTAGCCAGAGCGAGCGGGGTGAATCCGGTATCCACTGCAACTACATTGTGATGCACTCCCACATCAGTATGTAGAAAATATTCTCTGAGATTGCATATCTCGCGATTATGTAGGGTCTTGATATTTAAAAGTCCGCGACCCCTAAGCTTTCGCGGGATATACAATCTCATAACCGATGAACGTGGGTGGTGCATTCGGGATGCAGGCTGCAGTGTACGGACTTTCCTGTCAAGGGCATCTAATTCGGTCTGAGTCCATCTAAGTATACCACAGGAATACATCAGAACCGCCATGACCCAACCATTGCAGGCTCGCACCTTGTTGCCCCCTGATAAAAGACTTTTAAGTACTTTTTTCAAGCGGCCAAAAAAGCGTTCCTGCAATGTTTGTTTCATGTTAGATTCTGGTATTCCCAACGACTGTGATATACCCAGATACTTGTAGGTTTCAGTGGCAGACAGAGATCTGAGTTTTGTTGAATCTGAAAGCTCTATTCCTTCAGATTCAACTATCACACCCTTCTTTACATACATGACTGCACACTTGTCTACACCAAATTCCATTTTGATAGGATTACTAAAGTTTTCCGTCACCTTTAGTAACTTTGTCAATTGTAATTTGTTGGAGGCTAACAGTTTTAAATCATCCATATAAAGAAGGTGAGATATAACTTGATCATCTTTCTGCAACCTATAGCCTAACCCTGAACCAAGAATGCCTGTTTCACAAAGCACATCAATTCTATACTGCCAAGCTGGTACAGTAGATTTAGGTCGAGTAGTAGTGACATTGTCAGCTATTTTAACACCAGCTCCTCGACAAACTGCAATAGCCGCACAGTATAGAATAGAATGTGTATCAGTAAGATCTTCGCTATTATCTAAATATTCAGGCAATAACAAATCCAGGGCACCCACCAGCGCTAAATTTCGTTTATGAATGGGCAAACGGAATAACCGGGGCCCATTCATATTGCAATTGCAATTTAAATATCGGTATTCCAGAATCGCATCCTCCAAAGCGCTCCTTATCCTATCATTGTATTGGGTACTTACGGATATAACTTCACTCTCCACTAGTTCATCAATATCATCAGTATATGATGCCAACTGAGATGTGCTGTTGGTTACCGAATCCACAGTGTGTGACGAAGAAGGGATAATCAAGCTATTCCGTATGTCAGAGCGTATCCTCTCAAGTACTGCATCATCCAGCAGATGACAGTGCTGTATAGCTCGTACTTGATCCGACAATCGTTGTGCTGTTACGTTGACAGCTGGTTCAAGCTCCTGAAACAAAGAGACTAGTCGAACACGGTGCGCAGTAAGGTTCGTTCCCACCTCTGTAGCCCGATAATATGCCCGCATGACATTTTCATTAATAGACTTTGTCCACTTCATGCGGCGCACATCACCACCGGTAGCGGGGACCCTGTTCGAGGTCAGTAGTCCTCGGGATCCCAAGCTGGTCGGTGGCCGGCCTCTCCCCTACCGACGTACAGGTGTTGGCGACGTCGGCGGAGAGAAAAACTCGTCGCTTGAAGTCGAGCTCGACGCCTCAGCCACGGCCGGAACTTCTGTTGTAGCTTCCGGGGACGGCAAGACGGAGCGGAGCGACGAGTCCGGGGATGTTGTCAGTGCTCTGGATCTATCTCGGGTTAACATTTTTCAGTCGAATTTCGTTCATTACCAATATTTATTTGTATTTTGACATGACGTTAAACGTCATGTCTTTCTATCAACATATATCTATGTATATTATTTATTTTAAACGTTTTTGTATTGTATTTTTATAAAAAGTATCCATTTCATTCCAGTTTTATAGCTTTTAATTATTGTACGGGATTGTAAATGTACAGAAAACTTTTTTTTTTTTTTTTTTTCTTACCAAAAGGTGAGGATTTGATCACGAAGTGATCATGCCACCCCCATAGGAAACTACTAATACAATTCTACTACTACTAATACATAGGAAACTACTAATACAATAGGATACTACTAATCAACTACATCTATTCTTAAAACCTAAATTAACAATTTTCTACAACAGTTTCGCTTGGTCTGACACGGGCATAGACAAGATGGTGTTACAAACTCCAACAGAACGCAGAGATATGCCGTGTTTCATTTGAAACCGATCTCTTTCAGCTTTATTTCTTTGGCATTCTACCATTATGTGATAAACATCTTCCCTAACATTGCAAATAGTACAGTTAGGTGAAGAACTTTTTTTCATCATATATGTGAAGCTATTTAGAGGCATATGCCCAGAACGAAGTCTAAGGGCAGTGACAACTTCCTGTCCCGACAGATCGGAGTCCGCAAACCAAAGAACGTGCGAGGGGTATGGTTGTATTGTCTTATACCAAATACCAACAGTACGAGACCTTTCATCAAAGTACTCTTTCCACATGTTAATGCAGCGTTCTCTGATCAACGGCAACAAGTCAGTAAAATAAGGTTCACGAGGAACTGATATACCCATAAATGTTGACTGCTTTGCTAAGGAATCTACTATAGAATTACCTCCTAAACCAATGTGCGAGGGAACCCATTGAAGGACAATGTGTTTATCTTCATTTAGCATCTTTGTAATTAATTTTATTATGTCATAAGCTATTGGGACTCCTCGAAAGCCTGATACCGTACATCGCAACAAATGCTGTAGTGAGCTTCTCGAGTCTGTAAATATAACGTAATTTCCAGTTTTAAACGAATCAATATACGAAAGAGCCTCTACGATTGCTATCAATTCTAAATTCATTATGCATATATTTTGTGTTTTAATTTTTAACCTAACGAAACTGTTACTTTGCGGATCAAAAAAAGCTGCACCGAAACAATGGCACCAAATCGCTTGGAACCGTCCGTAAAAATATGGTAAAAATTTGCAAAGTTATTTTCTATAAAGTCACAACAAATGTTCTTAAGAACGTGAGGTCTATAGTGTACCTTTGCTTTATCGAGTACGTTAATGAAAGGCCTTACAACCTGAAATAAATTCACACTGCTTAGCCAAATTTCCAGCGAAAATGGTCCTAAAGACTTGCTAACGTAAAAAGGAATCGTCTTAAATTGTTCGTAGGGTAAAAGCAGAAGAGGTTTGGATCTGCGCTTCCATTGAGAATTTTGCACCTGTTGGTGAAGATCAGTAACCACATTAATTATTTCGCAATTATCTAGAGACTTTAACTTTAACCAGTACTTAGCTGCTAAATAGTACCTCCGCACATGCAACGGTTGAATGAGAAGTTCAATCTCCATTACATGCACGGGGGTACTTCTCACAAATCCACCCACCAAACGCAAGAATTGATTTTGTATTCTTTGTAATTTAATAAGATGAGTATTACTACTTGCAGCATAAATATGGCTGCCATAATCTAGCCTACTTCTAATTAGGCTTAAATATAACCGTCTTAAATGGATGGGATGAACACCCCATTGACCACCCGATAATACTTTAAATATATTTGAATATGCTGTAATTTTTTGCCTAATCTCATCAATGTGCTTCGACCACCTTAGCCCTCTATCCAACCATAAACCCAGATATTTAATATTATCCACAGTCTCAAGCGGAGTATCACCCACTGTCAACGTAACAGGTTCTCTTAAAGAACCTGATTTAAAAACACAAACTTTGCTTTTCACAGATGAAATGTTTAGACCAATGTCTTGAAACATCAAATTGACATAATTTAAAGCTACTTGTAAATTATTAGAAATGCCTGTAATTTTTTTACCTGAAGAAAATATAACATAATCATCAGCATATTGTGAAATAAATACATTAGGAAAGTTAATTGAGTGACAAACTTTCATAGTGATAATATTAAATAATAATGGGGATAAAGGGTCTCCTTGGGCTAAGCCGTAGCTTGTTGTTCGAGAAATTTTTAAATCCTCAACTTTGACTTTTAGATTTCTTTCCTTTAAGAAATTCCATAGATAGTTGCAAATTCTAGATCCAACCCCGATATCGTCCATAATTTTCACAAGGCAAGTAACATCTACATTATTATAGACGTTGTCAAGGTCTAAAAAGCAACTTATGGTGGTAAATCCTTTAGAAAAACCTATCTGAATTCTAGACGTCAGATTAGTGAGATTATCCAGAGTAGAGTGACATTTTCTAAATCCAGTCGTATTCTTAGACAGAAACTTATTGCTTTCAATGTACCATTCTAATCTATTGAGTAAAATGCCATGAAAGACTTTACACAAACACGAGATCATAGATATAGGTCGCAAGGAAGATACACTGTTAGGATCTCGACCAGGTTTTGGGATTGGTATTATAATTATGTTTCTCCATTGTTTAGGGACAAAACCATTGAGCAGAAAGTCATTATAAAGATTAACTAAAAACATTTTTTCCCTTATTTGGCAAGTGCTTTAACATAGAATAAGTAACGTTATCATCTCCCGGTGATGTATCTTTTGCTCGGATGCATTTTCTAATTCCTGTATCGTTATGGGTATTTCTAGCTTGGGATTATATGACTTAAATATCGGTTTATCAGGGATAACAGAATCAGGAGTTAGAGTATGTAGAAGATTCCTCGCACACTCTTTGTTTATATATGGTATGTTTGGTTTGTTACCTTTTAGCCATTTCATTTTCTCCCAAACCTGTTTAGCAGAACAAGATTGACTTATACTAACTTTTAAACTTTCGCGTTCCATGATAATTAATATTATTTAACGGGAATTAACGCGATCTCTTATTTAGGGTATTACATACCTCTGGTTTGCCTGACGTTTCGACCAGGTTGCACCGGCCGTGGTCACAGGCTGGTCAGCCTAGTTAGTATTAGTTGTTGTGTTATTCTAATTTTATCTTGCAAAAAATGAAAATTTTGTGGAATAGGATTATGCTACAGAAGACTTGTTTATTTCGAAAATGTAAAGAAATTCCGACTGATGTAGGTAAGTGTTGCTAGTCTATATCGTTAATAATTATCGTTAATATCGTTTCCCACTCCCTCTATAAATACCCAATCCATCAGATCAGTTGCCTTGGACATGCCTAATACATCCAGAACATAGCCGTAGGACATAAGTCCTGCACAGTCCCGGAATCTAGTACCGGTGGTACCAATACGGAGACTCGCGAAAGTGTGGAAAGGGAAACGAGTAAAAAACATGTCATAGGCTGCGACAAGCATATTGTAATTCCTATGGTTGACCCAACCCATATACTGGTCGACTACGTCTACAGACTCCGCAGCACCCTGGTCAATCGCCTTGAGCTGAGTCGTGATCCGTTCAACGATGGACGTTTTGTAATTCTGAATGGTCGTCCTGATTAATCTATAGATACCCAGCACCCATCCGGCCATCCAGGGATCGTCCCGCTCTGACACAGCCTCCACTGTTGGCAGGTTCCGTATCTTACTAATCTCCTCAACAGATAGTAAGGAAATGGCGGAAATTACATCACCTGCGTTCCCGATAGACAGGTTGTATGAAGACCAATCAGTCTGAAGGGTGTCTTGTACTTTCAAAGCAAAACTGGTACAGGAAGGTTATTGCTAAATCAATGGGGACGTTGTTGTCCTGAATGGCTTTACGTATCATCCTCCTGGATGTTGCAATATCAGCTGTGATCAGGGTAATTTTCAATATAGGCTTTTGGTTAGGGTGGTTATTGAACCATTCGCGAGGGTACTGTACCTCGATAACTCCCTTGGGAGCTCTCTTGAATTATTATTATTATTAAAGTTTAAATATTCAATCAGGGCGTCCGGGATAGTAATAGCTTGCGAGTCTTGTGACAAGTTAAATTCTTGTGTTTTTTGCATCTGGACTGGAACAATTGGGTTTATTAGCGGTCTTTTGGTTCCTGGAATGGACTGTTGGTATAGTTGTATTAAAAGTTAATATTTCAAACCGTCCCAAAAATATTACTTCATTGATGAGTTTTTCGGCTGTGCCTTGTTGGGTAGTAGTCATGTTACGGAGTTTAGCTGCAATAGCATCATATCGTCGTTGATATTGCAATACGTTTTATGTCACTTTTGCCATACTTTCCAGGAGAGGCAAATAACACGTTTTTGATAAAAATATTGGGTTGCGACAAAAGTTGTTTTCTATGATTGTTTATTAATTATATTTACCATGATTTGAGACTATTCAATAATAATATTATAATTTCCATCAAAAGAAAAGGTTACATTGAACCTATTGCATTCTGTTTCTGATTCATATTAGTATAATTAGGATGACATATAACATTTTGCTTTTTAAACTTTAGTAAAGGAGCAGTTTGTTGTATTACTAGTAAATCAAAATATTGCTATCAATAACAACAAAAAGCGAATATGTTTAGTAAACTAATGCTGTATCTATAAAATAAAATATAACTGTTTACAGAAAAAAATATGAGTTGCTTCTTTATTCAAGCTTACAGGTTATCACTACTATATTATCATTATAATAACTAATCAGTTTTTTTTTTGAATGTGTGGGCAGTCTGAAAAAGCAGGAGAGGAACAATTATTATGCTCCAGCAAATCGTAAAATGGATGATAATCGATAGAAATCAAGGGCTTCATCTCTTGTAAGTGAATAAATTTAGCTAATTCGATGGGCACGTGCGATGTGTATAGTGCAGGTATACTGATGCCGGTATTCGAAAGCAGCCTTGGCAAATACTCTTACGCGTGTTCGAAACTGAGTTTGTATTTGATTTTACCTTCCGGTAAATATTGTAAGGCACAAATGTCAGTCACAACAGGATCACCCTTTTTATTTCCTGCTCTTATGACTTGAATATTTACCGCCTTCATATTTGAAGAAATCATCGTAGTTTAAAAATATCACATGTTACGGATCTTTCCAGGCGCTTTTCATGATGTTAATATAATCGGCTGGAATATAAATTTCACGATGTGGAGGCAGTTTCCTTTCTATAGCACTGTGGATTGAGTCCACCTCTATTTGGGTATGGCCAACTTCCAGGTACTTCTGCTCTATCGATACGTTCTTTTCAATCGCTAGTTCCAGTAGCGCATTCGCCAATTTGACCGACCGGTTTTGGTAGCAACATCCATCACTCCATAAAATAATCCTGGAGGCATTTGACTTATCTAGCTCTGATCTTAAGTGCCTGATAAGAATGGAAGCAAACACATTGCTATCCAGACCACCATTACCCTCATGCCACAAATAGCAAAACACCTCCTTTGTTTTCAAATTATAATGCGTGTAATTATGGACTTTTAGCTTAGTTTTATAATAAGTGGCTGATGCTTGCATTCTTGGGCACAGCACAACTTGCACATCCATAGTATACACTATAGTGTCGGCTTCAGAGTGTTCCTTATCATTCGCTTTCTCTTGCCTCGATTTTTCTTTCTTTTGTAAATGGTTAGCATAATCATCTGCAGCTACGTTTCCATTTTTAAACGCAATACATTTATTGCATTGATCTTTTCTTGGTTTAAAAATGGATAAGTTTAACTCATGAAACTTTCTGGAAAAGGAAGCAGTGCAATATTTTTTTGTTATTGGTGGCACAAAACTGTTTGTATTCAGTATACAAATCTCCTGTTATGCTATTCCAAATAGGCTCCAAATATTTCTTCGTAGTAGAACCCCGGCAGTAAAGTGATTCTACTTTCGGCAATTTATCAAAGAACTCAGCAATACCTTCTTCTGATTTATCATGTCCAGGCTGTGGTGGGGCTGGAGCAGAAACAGGATCTTTTCCAACTGAAGGAGTTTTGATAAGCCAGTCTCGCAGCTGCCTTTGGCCAATGGCCAAAGTTGTCATAAACATGATCTTGCAAACTGAAGTCACAGATAGTCTCATCATCGCTAGAATCACCCTGCTCTCGAGAGCAAGTTAGAGTAGGTCGAAATCGAAACTCTCCAGTTAAGTAATTTTAAGTAATTTTGTCAAGTTCTACACATTGTTCAACGTTTGAACTCTGTTCAGTTACCAATTCTACCAATTTCCTTCCTCTTGTCAACCGATTCATAATAATACATGTAAAGAATACAAGCAAAGCATTTCACCCTTGCAAAAAGTACCTATCAGTATCGATGCAATATGAGTTATGTCATTTTTTTGTGTGTTAGATATGACATAAACCATCTTTCAAAAAATAATAACAGAAAATAAGAGCCGCTATTGTTAGTTAAGAACCAAAATAGCATAACCCATTGCTCATTTATGTTAATTTTACACTTTTCATATGAAATCGTATGTATTAAGTTTCAGGTTAGCAACATTTTTGTGAAGAACAAATTATTGTAGGTTAGATTTTAGGCAGCAGAAAAGATAGAAGTAAAAATGCTAGAAATATTACGAGTTTTTAGTTTAAACAGAGTTTGTCACCGGTTTACAAGTTATTATAATAAGAACTTACCAGTTGTTTGCCAAATAAACACAGCAGATACAAAAATTCACAATCAAGAAAAACCGTTGTCGCTCAATTCCCGACATAGGACAAATGCAATATCAATATTCTTTGACTTTTGACACCTACCGTATTGCATCAGTTTAAAATCAAGCGTCCTGATTGGTTGTTGACATAGAACGCTTTACAGATGCGTTCATAATTATGTTTTAAGGCCAAATCGTGAAAAACTAAAAATTTAAAAAGAATGACATAGAACGTATTGCAATATCAACGAACATCAACATCAGGGTTTTCTAATTTTTTACCTATCAATGATATAGTATTTGCAATTTCGACATTGGCCTGTCGTTTACGACGTGCAGATGAAGCTGTAGATGTTGCAGGTGAAGACACGTTGTAGTTGGTACTCTGTAAATAAAAATAATATCATTATACTGACTCGTAGTTTTTTTTATTGTTACAGTTCCCGAGTTCAGAACAAGAATGGATAGCAATTGCTAAAGAGTTTGAGCGCAGATGGCAATTTCCAAATTGCCTAGGAGCTGTTGATGGGAAGCATGTTGCTATAACCCCTCCTGCCGGAGCAGTATCACATTTTTACAATTATAAAGGGTATCATAGTATCGTTCTAATGGGAATTGCTAATACAAATTTTGAATTTATTTATGTGGATATTGGAACAAATGGACGTATTTCTGATGGTGGTGTATTACAAAAAATCTAATTTTTTTTCAAAGATTGAATTCGAAGAGTTTAAATCTTCCTAACCTGAGAAAACCAAGCGGACATTCAGAAGAGTTGCCTTATGTATTTATTGGCGATGAGGCTTTTGCTTTGAGGACAGATTTTATAAAACCATACCCATAAAGGCAATCACTGGCTAACTCAAGTAAGAGGATATATAATTATAGAGTGTGTGGAAGTCTAGAAGAATTATAGAAAATGTTTTTGCAATTTTGGCGGGAAGATTCCACATTTTTCGGTCGCCTACAAATACCAGTGTGCACAATATTAACAAAATGGTTTTGGCATGTTGTGTATTGCACAATTTTTTAAGGAAAAAAGCAAAACAAACTTACAGTCCACGTCAGCAATTTGATAGTGAAAATCATGAAAATGGAACTATTGATTTGGGACTGAGACCGCGAAATGGAGAATTACAGTCACTGCGAAAAACACATACATGATCGTAATCCCACTCAAAATGCAAAAATTACCCGAGAGAAGTATGAAACCTACTTTAATACAAGTGGTGCAGTACCATGGCAACACAGAATGTTATAATAAAGGTACGATTCCACCAAAATAGTGTGCAGCACATTTGTTCACAAACATTTTGTGCAAAACAAAACTCCAGCTTAGTACGTACTAAGCTGGTGTCGCGGTTAACCTGTCTCCACCGGCAAGGCTGTGTGTAACTTTTGTAAGCGCACAGTTACTCTTACGCTAAACTGTGCGCCGCACAGTTTAGCACACTTGTGCGTGAACATGTTCACTGAGCAGAAATTTCTGCCTTCAGTTGTTAATATGGACGGGCAGGAAAACGTAGTGCTTTGTGCTGCAGCCTGTGTTTTACTATGTAGTCTGCTTAAAAAGAAACGAAGAAAGAAACCTCGATGTTGGGTGAGGCCCTTCCCACAACGACGCGATGAAGAAACGAATGGATTTGTAGAAGAAATAAAAATAGATCCATTGAGTGTATTTAAAAATTTCACTCGAATATCGTGCGAAGAATTTGAGTTGCTGGTTAATGCAGTTAGTCCTCTTATTGCTAAGCAAGATACCAGCTACAGAAAATGTGTCCCTGTTTCAATAAGGCTTGCAATTACCTTAAGATTTCTTGCTACTGGTGATTCTTTTGCAAGTTTAATGTATTTATTTAAAGTTTCAAAAGAGCTTATTGCTCGGATTGTGCCTGAGGCCTGTAAGGCGTTGATAAGCGTGTTGAAAGAAAATATTAAGGTAAGTAAATAAAAAATAAAATCACATATAATTTATTTACTTTTATTGCATTAAATATCATGCCAAGTTGCTGTCAGGCTGTCATTCTGGCGTAAAAGATCTGAGTAATCATTATCGCGGACCTCAAAAGTTGAAGCTGGTCCTTGAGTCTGAGAATTCGACGAATCTGAATACGGTGAAGGCATTGGAGTCGTAGCATATTTCCCAATACCAATAATAGCGTCATACAATAAATTATCAATATCCCTTTGCACTAAAATCTTCGTACGTTCATCTTTAATTTTCCTTAATTTCGTTGCGACAGCTGCAGCAAAAATATCGTCATCATGTTTTTTGTCTTCCATCTGCTTCTTTACTTTATCCATAATGTTCAAAGCATGGGCAATTCTCGGGTCTTCATCAACAGCACGACGTTTCAGCGAGTTCTTTGGAGCGTTAATCTTTTCGACTGGCCTTTCATCAGGAGTTTCTTGATCTTCATTTATTGTGTGTTCCTGGATATCTTGTATTAGCTGAAATAATAATAGCATTTCCTTTTTCAGATGCCTAATACTTCAGAAGAATGGATGACGGTAGAGCGTCAATTTCACCATCTTTGGCATTTCCCTCATTGCATTGGGGCTATGGATGGCAAACATGTTGTTATTCAAGCTCCAAATAATACTGGAAGTGACTTTTTCAATTACAAAGGTGATTTCAGCATTGTACTTTTAGCACTGGTTGATGCAAATTATAAATTTACGTACGTAGATGTCGGTTGTAAAGGAAGAATATCGGATGGTGGTGTCTTCAAAAATACTGGTGTCTATGCTAATCTTCAGCAAGGAAAATTAAATTTGCCTCAACCTTATGCGCCATCCGGAAGGAACAAACCAATTCCACATGTGATTGTGGCAGAAGATGCTTTATGATTGCATTAGATATGAATTTAACCCAAATATGCCCAGAACTATTTTTTTCTTCGATTTCATTCATTTTTTGATATGTGGATACCTGAAGGGTTCCAATGAAGGCGGTAAGTGAAAATTTGAGGTGGCAGTGAGAGCATGGTGTTTTTTTTCATGGGTCAAAAACGACCCTCTGGTCAAATGTGTTACGTAAATTATGTGGTGAATAAAAATACCAAAAATACTTTTGCGTCTTTCAGTGGGCAGTTTTCAATACGGTTACTACGCACTGTACCCGTCAAAAACACATGCTTCTCTTTTAGATCACTGGCCAATGGCAGACCAGTAAAAAAATTGTCGCAATACACAGAGAAATCTGTATTAGGAAATTCCTCCTGTACTTTAGTTATCAGTTTATTGATAACATGACGTCCTAATCCTGTTTCTGTACGTTCGGACCGCCCTTGATAGGGATCGGCATACAGGCAGTAGCCCAATCTCGTGGCAGCAATCCACATTTTGAACCCAAACCTTATTGGCTTCCCTTTGATGTGCTGTTTGCAACCATGCCTGCCGTAATACGGAACCATGGATTCATCGATACTTATTTGCTTTTCGATAGGAGCATACTGTAGAAATTTAGCATTTAGCATATCAATCAGCGGGCGTACTTTTGCCATCTTATCATTTTCAGGCAGTGCAGTATTATCGGCCACATGAAAATAACGCGATATCTCTTCAAATCGATTGCGACGCATACTTTTTACGACAAGAATGTTGTGGGTATCTTCATTGCTCTCCCAGTACATGCGGCGTCGTGGCAAAGGAGCATAACCAGACAAAATAAGGATACCAATAAAGCAGTATACTTCTTGGTCTGACAAAGAGAAATTCATATTTCCCGACTGCATAGCATATGTAACTGTTTGTCTGACTATGTGAACAATTACTTCACGATTGAAAAAGAGTTCACAGAATACAACAGGGTCACTATGTGCAGACAATGTAGAAATAGACCTAGGAAAGGGTATGGTCCACTCACAATTGTTCCTGGAGAGATCTCTCTTCACCCAAGTGCGATCTCCGCCCGGTTGACGTTGAGTAACTGTTCCTCTCCCCCTTCCACGTGTTCAACCACGTGCTCTTCCACGTGCTCTGCCGCGAGTTATTTGTTCCAGTAGCAATGGAGGTGTATCATCAGGTTCATCATCCTCGCTGGACGCAGTTTCTTCTACAAATGGGCGCTTTAAAGTTAGCCTTGCAGGTGCGAGTAGCTGTCGACGGGATAAATGATGGAAAAATATATCTTCGTCATTCTAGAAATGTTCGCGTACAATTTGTTGTGGTTTGCTTGAGATAGTCGACCAGAGTGAACATTTGTGTCGTACACTGTGCATAACAGTGCCGCACAGTTCAGCACACTGGTGGAATCGCATCTTAATAATATTTAATTTACCTGAGTATCATTGTCAACGTCAAATATACTTTCATCATCATTAACTGTCTCCTGTTCACTGCTATCCAAATTGTCAGCCGATTGTTCACCTGTAAATAAAAGACTAATATTAAATTATGTACTTTTTGTTTTAATTTAAAACATCACAATTTCATTATGTATTGTAACAACACTACTACAAGCTGGACACCCCGCTGGCAATTGATTTATAAATAATTATAGAGTCTGGCTAATGAAAGTTGATACTGAAAAAGCGCGGCAAATTTAAAAAATATCAGCATGGCAGCCCTAAAGTAAAAAGGAAAGTCAGAACAACTCACTTTGATACTTTGACATTTATTTTTATTTTACTAGTGGATGCTTGCAATTTTGTCCGCGTTATGACGAGATTAAAAGTAGCTTTTATCACTTGTTAACTCTTTATTAACTCCATACCAAACATCACACGGATACGTCACTCCATTGTGGCATATTAAAGGAACAAACAGGCTATCAAACATTATCATGAGTATCAATATTATCATGAGTTTAAATATTTGTAGATCTATGTGAGTATGTATCAAAGAAAACAACACCATATATTTTTATACTGTTTTTTAATCACTATAATCAAAATTGAATGTAAAAATTCAACATGAAGTGAATCGTCAGAATCACTGGAGTCGCTGCTGTCTCTTAAATTGATGATGAAGCTTTATAAATTATTTTCAATTATATGGTCTCTTCTTTTGTACTTGTCTTCCACATGAATGACATGGTCTGTCATTTTTTTTCCAATCATCTGCTGTAATACACTCAAAAGATTGTTTTATGAGATCCTCGAACTCTTTTGGAGTACGGCTTACATTTTTGCTTCCCACATTTCTTTTTGCTAGACTCCATATGAGTTCTATAGCATTTAGGTCACAATGATAATGGAGGAAGTCTTAGCACTTCATCTCCGTTTAGGCTTAAAAGTTCATCAGCTTCATAAATAGGTTCTGGTGTGTTCTGTTTTACTAAGCAGAGCAACTCTGCTTTTGAATTGTATGTTTCAAATGAAATACCATTCAATGTAAGCCAATTCTGTATCTCTAACTTTCGATTTTGAGATGTGGGCGCTTTATTTATTATGACAGAATGGTATGATGCATTGTCCATTACAATTACATATGGTTCATTCAAATTGGGCATAAGCTTTTCTTGAAGCCATTTGTTGAAGTTTGTGGAATTCATGTCATGGTGGTAGTCGGCCATTTTCGATTTGGTGCTAAATACTCGTACTAACAATGAGTTTGGAACAGGGCTTTTCTCTGATCCTGCATGCACAATAATATATCGTTTTCCTGACGATATATTTTCAACTATTCCACTTGTTGATGGACCTTGCCAACATTTTTTAGGCTTATAGGTTTTGTGGACATAAGTTTCATCTAAGTAGATTATTGGCTTGCCTTCTGCACGCTTCGATGCAATGGTACGCAAAAAGCGATGTCTCCATGCAGCAGAAATGACATTTGGTGTGTGGAAAAGGAGATTTGCATGCCTTTCTCAAAAATTAAGATTAAAATTACGCAGAATCCATTCAACCACCTATTTTACCCATTATTACCTCTGAAGGAAACCGTTTTCGTCAGTTATTGTTGGAACAATATTTTAGGTTGGTAAACTTTTTCTTTCATAAATATCTCGAAGTACACAACGGGAACACAAAATAAAAAAGCGACAAACTTGAGTAGATAATATATTTTATTTATATTTCAAGTGAAAAATACACTGAATGTAGATGTGATGACAGATTCAACAAAAACAAGAACTAATAAAATTAGAAAAACAAAAATTTAACTGGATTTTTCTTTTCAAAAAATGCTTAAATAGAATCCTGGATTTAAAAAAGAAAAATTTAGTATATTATTATTATGTTACCCATCAATCCATCATAAACTAAAATTCTTCTTTTTATATTCCAGGTCCATTTTTGCATTTTCTAAAAGAGTTCTCTTTAACTCAATATCAATATATATAGTAAAATTTTAGTATTTCTAATTTCATAAGTTCTTGTTGCCGTTGAATTTCCAATATTTTCAACCTTTTGGTTGTTATGGCATCTTCATTAATTTGTTTTTGATTTTTTCTTTTAATTATTGAAGCACTGAGATTATTTATATTTCTTTTTTTGTTTCAGTTAAACATTTTTTTTTAAATTTTGGTGTGCTTTCAACGTCCTGAAAGACATTCCCAACTGGTAAAATTGGTCTTTTGCGACATTCAACTTCTTTAGATGTTGATTGGATGTTACACACCGAATCTTCTTTTGCATCCAATACTACAAATATATCTTGAGGAGTACCAACTTGTGCATCTTCACTTACTACTTGTGTTTCAATATCTGTAATAAATAAAATGTAAGAATCACTTACTACTGTGGTATTTTCCCTGCTGATTGTACTGACATGCTGGTATATAATAGCGCTAGAAGTTGAGTATGGGCACATAGTCCATATTAAATAAATAAAATAATCTACTTCACAATAAATTATTAACGAGGTCAATTCAATTTTAACTATTTATTGTCTACAATATTGCCTGCATACATTTAAGTGCTCAGATAAAGTATTTAACCTATGCCTAAAAAGAACATATAATAAGAATTTAACCCAAATATCAGTGAAAAAATGATCAATTTAGAAAAAAATTAGGACTTCCCTAAGTTGTAATAAGGTGCTGATGAGTCTAATTCATTTGGTAATGGTTTAAATTGAGGAGTTAATAAAGCCATAATTTTCTCATCAACTATGGTTGTCTTGGGGCAAAATGTTCCACCTCCTGTTTTGTACATCTCGGACTGAAATTAAAATTTGACATAAATATATTACATTCTTGTCTGGCACCATTGTGTAACATAAGAATCAATGAATATATTACTCCGAATATATTAGATTATAAATGTTACTCCGAGGCATAGTATTACATATATGAAGTATAATTATGTACATTATTGGTACCAAGTGGTTATTACACCTGTATACTAAAGGGTTCCTTCGTACTTTGTACTCTTAAAATATACATAAGGGAGCCTAATCAAATATAAATAACAAGGATACGACCTACCTTATCCTCGCTCAAATTTTTCTCGTTTTTTTCTTTACATTTACATTTTTTCGTTTCTGAGAGCATTATATTTATTCGTCAGCGCCATCCAAGCTAGTTTCTTTGCCTCCACAGAAGTTCCATCCGTCTTTTAATTGTCGATTATAGACACAAATTCTTTGGCTACTTCGATAAGAAGCATCTTCTCTCTCTCAGTAAATTTTTTACTGCGTTTTCCAGAGTCCATTATAGTTATTTTTTATAAGAAAAGATAAAGCACAAACGATAGCAAAGACCACGGCAAAAGCAAAGAAAAATAATACCACGATGAAACTAGACGAAACTTTTTTTTTTGACATTAATGAGTTTGACGTTTATTTAACAAAAAAAATTGACTACGATGTCGTTCATTCATCCGCTGATAAATAGCGAATATTAATAATTTATAACTAAAACAATGCTTATTTACTTATTTACCCTTGAATAAAATATTCTCGTAAATAAAGCTAGTAATAATCCTGAATTAAAATAATAAAACCAATTTTAAACTTGATCTCTTAAACAGACCCATCTAACGGCAGATTATGGAACTACTTATCTGTTTGATAGTTATTGAACGGTTCATTGCGTGTTCAGAAACGCAGTGACAGTTAACCGACGTTTATCCTATACATAACTTTATTCTATCAATAGCTAATGAGAGTATAACTGGGAACTTCAGAAACCGGGCATCAGAAATTCAAGCTATAAGCAAGTACCATAATTTTGGTACATATACCTGGTCAGCTCCTGAACCTGTTCTCATGCTATCTCGCACTTTTTTATGTTCTTTACGGTACCCAGCCCTTAATGAGTTAATTTTTTTCTCGACGTTATCTATGGTAGCATCTCTTTCCACCTTACGTATAATTTCTAATAAATTATTGTATGCTTGAAACTTCATATTTTTGTCTCTGTAATCATTGCTTCTAATTTTCCAAAGGCAAGGATTATTTCGAAAACATTCTAAAAATACTGTTTGCAGTTCATGCGAATAAGTTCGGAAATCACTCATTTTGAGAATTTTCTAAACTAAATGATTAGGCACTTGCGCAGTAAACCAATATTAACAAAAATTACACAAACGTCAAACACCACAAGCGTTGTGCATCCACGGACAGGCAAAACAACAGCACTGCACCGGCTGAACCCATCCACAATGAGCTGAAGCCTATCCCGGGCAGCAATGGCTTCAGTGCATTGTGTATGAATCTGGGCTAGTTCTAACTTAACCTGCTTATTTTTATCGATTAGGCCTAGTAATTCTTTCTCATTATCATCTCTTTCCGCAATCAGCTGGTCACACAACTGCTTAGACTCCTTTAGCTTGCTCAACGCCAATTGGAGTTTGGACTCCTCTTGGCGAGCAGCCAAAGCTCTGCGTGTCATCATAGTTGATTAAATCGAAATGAAATGTGATAAGCAAGGATTGAGAAAGTTATACGATAGGAATTAAAACGAAAAATTTAGTGAAGGTGGACAGAAAAAGATAAAATAATTATGCAAAGTAGTTGTGTTACCGAACTAGATTAAGGTTATGTTTACGTTCATATAGGCAATTTGCATGAACTTTTGACTGTAGCAAATATTTGAAACTACTTACGTTTGAGATGAACACGTAAACACTGTTATATATCTTAAAAATTATACCTCTGGAATGATGATAATTCAAAAATCACTTGTCGGTAACTGTCACAGTGTGTATTAAATATTAAGTCTTAACAAATTCGCATATTTTCACTATTATTTATGAGTAAACAATTTTTAACTCAATCTAATCAGTGACGGATTAGTTAATTATATTGTATTTTAAGCGAATAAAACAATTAAAATCACAAGAACAAAATTTGGATAAGCTGCTGGTCAGCTGGTCAGTTGAATCGTCTACTACGTACGTCTATTCTCTACTACTACGTCTATACTCTCGTCGACACTTTATGATGCAGAATTCTTAGCATTTCCTTGAAATAAATCATTGAGCATGGTAATTAGAGGACGCAACTTGTACAGTTTATCGTGGCCTGGTGGTAACACCAGGCCACGATAAACTGTACAAGTGCGTAAAAAAGTATTTTTTTAGGTTCTTGGGCATTGTCGTTAAGATGTAGCGCTTGCAGTATTTTTTTGAATCGTTTTATCGGCATGACACTGGCCACTTCATCGACATCGTTTTTTACGCATATTTTCATCATCTGCTAGTTTCATCTCAATAAATAATAATAAATAATTTGAATTTTCTGATCAATGAATGAGCAAGAAGCCGTTCTTGCTCTGCAAATGTACTAATCTCAGCCTCAGATTCATCTCTCTGTGAATTATGTAAAGTCTCTATAGACACATTCGAACTCGTATCAGGCATATTTTGATAGTCTTGGCTTTGGGAATCATCTTATAAAATATTTTGCAGTTTCAAAATTCAATTCTGGTTCTCCTTCTGATTCTAGTCTGCCGAGTTAATATCATCCGAAATATCAAAAATTTCCTCTAAATTATTCCTCAATTTCTTTATCCTTCAAAAATTTCTTTATCCTCGCCATTGTGACAACGTCCGTGTGGTGACGGATTAAAAATACAGATTGTCACCACCCCAGCGTTTTGGCCTACTATGCCAGCGTGGTATAGTAGGCCAAAACCTCCTTTCTAAGGAGAGGCTTATGTCCAGCAGTGGACTATTAAAGGTTGTTAATGATTGTGACAGAAGACCCTGAAAGAACGAAAAACATTTTATTTGTTTAATATCAAAACTCAGTAACGGTGCCGGGTACAGGGAATATCTTTCCCACCAAGAAAAATCGTTAGGAAGCAAAAAATATAAACTCAATTTCATAAATATTAGCAATACACAAAGAATAATATATTTCGAAATACAAGATTTTTACTTTCCCCTTCAAATAAACTTAAAAGTGCGATTTCTACAGATGGAATTTGCTTTAACCTAAAAAACAAATTTTCTAGACACTGTAGCAAGCCGCTGATGAATGACGCCATGACACTGTCTGTGAAATATATTTTTTATGCAAATATTGACAATATAGTTCAGTATTGCTAGACCAAAAAATAACTTTTCTTCTAATAACCTAATTTGGTAGAAATGATCGAAAAGATACTGATCTTTTCACTCGAGGTCTCTATCGGTGTCACCACTCTTTCATATTCCATTGGTAAAGCGGCTAACAAATAGCATATCTTATCTTTCTCTTCTAAAGTAGATCCCACACCAGCAAGCTCCGCAACGACATTAACAAAACACATAAAGAAATCTTTAAGTTTTTTGCCAGGTGCACATTTTAAAGTAATAAGTTTTCTTCTTAAATAGGTTTTGCTCATTACACTTTTCCTTTCAAACATACCATCCAGGGCTTATCATCTCCGAGGCCATTTTAGAACCTCTTATAATCTCTAAATATTTGTCGTTCAGACATTGTACTATGACACATTTTACTGTTGCATCTTTCTTACCAAACTCCTTATATCTTTTTTGAATCATATCCGCCCTCTAATACTTTTTCCATTTGTTTTTCTTGAAGTAATATCATAAGCCTAAACTTCCAATTGGCATAAAAGTCGCCTTCTTTTAAAATAGTTGCCTATTTTTTAAAAGAAATCAATTTTGCCATTTTTGTGAAGGAAAAAATTGACAATTGTTGCCACGGATTTTAATAAAATCTTCAAATTGTTTGCACCGTTCCTCTTTAATATTCTTCTACTACAATATTTTTCCATTATTTTGCGCTTGTTATTTGGCGCAGTGGAAGCGTGATATTGGGTTTTCCCATTAAAAAAGAATTAACACAGTATTTAAGTTCGCCATGTTTATTACCATAGAACAACAAGTTCAATGTGACCACAGATAATAATAATATCCAACATCAACAATCGGTACTGCTCCAGCACAATTTGGCAGCGTGACACAATACAAATACATCCATTCCGGCAAAAATCCTGATCCGAATCCGGACCGCGGTCCGCCATTTGGTGACTCTGGTATATCACATCATTCGCATCGTTGGTCAATTCTTTTTACATAAAATATTGTACATTACTGCTAAACGAGTCATATTATCCACTTCTAGTTTAAATAAAATAACATAAAACGTAAAACCATTCCTAAAATGTTACATTTTGGCTACTGCGAACATTCTAATCTCCACCAATCTCAATATTTGCGCAATATACAGCCGCCAAACAATTTAAAAATAGCATTTGCCTCGGCGATTGGGCAATTCCGATTTCAGTTAGTTCTCCAAATCGTCACGTAATTTAAAACCAAAGTGGCCTCGGTACGAAACGTCGCAATTCCAATGTTGATTGCCCCAGGTAAATTATCCTAGAATCGCTTATGAGCGATTCAAACCTTACCCAGTTACATTTTAATCCCCTCAAGTCAAGGGAGTGGATATCCCCACTCTGCACAAACATTTATGTATTGGATAATATTTAGGTTTTAAAACAAAATTAATTTGAATTTAGAATACAGAGCCATTACAAACTTTTTTTTATTTGAAATGACCAGTACTGAAGAAAGGCAATTTCATAGGTAAAGACCTAATATATTGTTTAATTAAAGCTCTCTTTTTTATAGAATCAACAATCATCATAAATATCACTCAAACAAATTATAATTTAAAATAACATGTAAACAATCAACAAAATAAAAAGAAAGAGACGAATTAAATAAAATGGATTAGACAAAGGTATCAAACGAGCTAGTCTTGCAGGAAGTAGTAGCAGTTTACGAAAAATACAACCATAACAATAACATAAACCAATAATAAACTTGATACTTTACTATTGGCTAATGTTTGGTGCATATTTGAAGCAATATCCAGAGTAAGATTTTCTGTCTAATTTGCAACCGGCCTAATCTGCATGGGCCATTCCATATGATGTTTTGTTGGACTTAGTGTAGCAGATACCAATGTCTATAGTGCCCTTCAGGTATCTCAATATCCGCTTTGCATATTTATAGTGCTCTTAACCATAAGCATTATTGAACTGTGACAGATAACTTACTGATCGGTTCTGGACTCTGAACTGGTCGGCTCGCTACTGGTAGATACATCAATGTTCCGATTAAACTTTGGGATGGTATATTTTTATTGCAATGCTCCGTTTTTTCAATTTTTCTAATGAACTTTCATTTGTATTTGCAAAAGCGAGATCATCGACATAAACGGCAACTATCATTTTATCTGTGCCTTGAGACCAAGTATAAATACATGGATCAGCTGTTGATGCTTTGAACTTCATTTTCATGGGCGCATGGTCCAATTTGTAAAACCATTGTCGACCAGCTTGTTTTAAACCATATAAAGCCTTTTTTAACCAACAAACTTTTTCTCCTTTTATTTTTCGTATATCTTGAAGCATATTTCTGGCTTTGTTGAATAAATCTAAATTTTCCTTTCCGCTTTCATCAATCGTAATCTTTGTGATGAGAAGAATATTCTTCTAAATATTCAGGCATTTTTATAGTATTTTATTATTTAGGTCTTTTTCTTTGGGTAAATTCAAATGTGCTAATTCTTTATGCCATTTCATTAAATTATTTTCGTGTGTAGTGTAGTGTATTATTGCGGTGTTTATTTCTTGTCCTCGCTTGACTCCTCAATAATCTTTACTTTTAATTCTTCAGGTGAAGGCAATTCGTCTTGCGTCTCAATAAATTCTCAAACGATGATGGCAGGCTGTAGAGGACTATGATGCTCAATAAGTCATCATTCATATTTACATCCATGTTTTGAAGCCTGTCGACACAATCAAAGATGGAGGACATGTGATCATGTACATCATCTGAATCCGACATTTTCTTTAGAATCAGTTGCTTTAGCAAAGTTGCCTTTCTGGCAGGGCCTTCACTCTGATAAATAGATTTTAATTTTGGCCATATTAGCAGATTTACAGCACTTAACTTGCCTGCGCTCCTGGCGAAATCATGAGGTCTTCCTCATGATTCGCGAGCTCTTACTCGGAGCGCGCCAGCATGTCCTTGCCGGCATCGGGCTTCGGGTCTTCGAGTATAGCCCAAAGGTCATTTTTGACCAGCACCGCCTGGGCTTGGTTTACACAAGTGTCGTACCGTTTGAATGAGTAAACTCTTCTATACACGGGTCTTCTATAAGATACTTATGTGGCGACTCCCACATACAAAGAAACAGAAACGTCATCAAAGTCCCTGTTGGAATCCGGCACAGGATCACGACCATCGACGAGCTGAACCCGCTGCTGGTGAAATATCCAAGGGCGCAAACGAGTTCCTCAAAATCCTCAAAGCCTGCAGGAGAAAGTAGGTCTGATAAATAAATTCAATTTAGCAGTGACATTTAGCATTCACTTAATAGTAATATTTACAATATAATTATACCACCTCATAATTATTCCTTGTATACAAGACCCTTAGCCCATTTCGTATACATATCTTTCAATTGTTTTTATTCGTGTAGTTTTCTAACCTTTATTTTTTTATTGTTTTATCCATTTTTTGTTCATTTTGACTTGACGTTTTAGGTGTATCACTAAAGAGTATAGAGTAGCATAGATTAAATATTTAATCATTCACTCATTTCGGTCACTGCTGTTCGGATACGCTGCGCGTAATATAATATCTGTAATTGAGGGTGAACCATAGTCTGTATTAACACCTATGTTTTCTTCACACTGTTATGAATTGCATTTTAAAGGACATGGCCAGTTTCTGCCTAGTTTTTTGGTAGCATGTACATTAATAACAGCCTTATGATAAGAAAATAAAAAAAAATATATAAATTATGGCATCCTTCATATTTCTGTCTAACTTCCGAGTGTTAACACAAGATTAAAGAGTTTTTTTTTGATTTCCTATACATTCAGGTTCTGCGCCATTTTGAGAAAACGTGTTTCCAGTAAAAGTAATGTTTACGTATAAAACCAGCGTAAATATGTAAAAATAATTACGTTGGTTCAAAATAGTACTAAAGATTAAAAATCAATATAGTAATGATATTTATGTACATATATAAAAATATTATAAATGATTGTTATTAATTCATAATAATTATACTTCTTTGTGATTTGCTAAACAAAACGTAATGCTATGTTATCATGACAGCGGATCTGTCACTATATTTTAGAATTTTGGCATTTTGCTCACGTTGTATTATTTATACAAAAGTACCTACCTACTTTGTGTATTATTTACGCTTGCGTTTTTGTGTGAATAGTGCGATTTTCAACGTTTACCCATAATTATAACGACCATTGATTTTCTTCACGGACTGATTAGATTGCCAAAACGTTATTTTGAGTGCTTGTTATTACCGACTTGATTTTATGTACGTTTCGAATATTGTTGAATAAATATTCAATTATGAGGTGTATTAACTGCGGGATAGCCACGGGACGGTTAAAACGACAAAAAAATCCTCGTTAAAAAATACTTTTTCAGGATAAACTTAAGCATGTTTTACCGACTGGAAACCGAACTAGGGCCACTTAATTCAAACGCACTTACTACCACGGTCGTCTTTAAAAATAATATCGTATTTATTTTTATTATGTATCCATTTAATACCTTTTCAGTGCTCCGAACGCCTGTAGTTTTTATGAAAGCAAAACAGTTTCTATGAACTCATTGCTTTTAAGTTTAAGAAGGATTAAAACATGACATCCTTTTATGTAAATATCTAAAAAATCTGAAGTACATGGAATATGTAACATATACATTATATTTTTTAGGACAAATTTAATTCCAAAAAGCAAAATTTCGTTAATGTACATGAACTTTTACAAGCTAGGCAGAGGGCCTTGTATAAATTGGCCATGTCCTTTTTGTTTTCTGTTCAAACCAGGCCCCTGAAACTTCCATATATTTTTCGTCACAAAAAAATTACAGAGAAAGTTCTGCCATCTCCATAAACATGAACTCAAACATAACTATTCATAGCTGCCGATAGGTGGAGCTTTTTGATTGGTTAAAATAAAATGAGAACTTTAAATTATTCAAGTGCTTTCTTTAATATGCTTATTTTATAATTGTTCTGAATTCTTAATTTATTTTTTTACCATGAAAAATATTTTTGTAAACATGCAAATAATTTCAATTTTTACCCATTTTTTTGAGTGAAAGGAAACGTAAATGACTAATGAATGACAGACAAATGTATGTTACTTTCAAAACTTTTCTGTTTCTAGTTTCGTGGTTTTTTGAATATCTTTTTTGTGCTGTTTTAAACTTTGACCCTGCTTCTCCCTTGGACCCTGTGATAAGATACGTAAACTATTGACCCTACGCTGTGAATATTGGATACTTGCTTGCTTTTGCGATTTGGATTCGACGAGATTTTGAAATGCCTAGAAAATCAGCTTTAAAGTGTTATTTTGGATGTTTGCCTTATAAAGGTAGGGTTTAGCCAGTTTTTATAAATCAAAGTCCGCTTTTTTATTCGTAACTATGCTTTAAGGAACTTTGTACAATTAATAAAGTAAAAAGAAAAATAAGTTGATCATATGAGAGTTTTTAAAGCGATTGACTGATTTTGAAAAAGCATTTTCTTTATGACTAGAATAATAGCTGGAACTTTAAATCTACTGTCTTTCAGGAAAACTCCATAACTTTCCACCTGAGGAATACCCATATTCGGAAAAATTTGATCAGTGGAAAATGGTTTTGAGTGAAATAGACAAAATAAAAGATAACAAATACATACGTAACAATATACGTATATGCGATAACCATTTTCAAGACTATTACAAAACCGTACGTGGTCGTCTCACTAAAAATGCTGTTCCAACATTGAATATTGGTAAGTAGCTAATAAATGAAATACATAATAACTATCAGTACCTGAGTTAAATTTTTAAAAGTGTAATAAAAATCTTAATTAACATTTCTCTATAATTTAATGTATAATACAGCATATCATTAAAATGAATGTTTTAGAAGATATTAGAGATTTTAAATGCTAAAGCCCAACAACCATCGAGCCGTACGTCTGTCCCAGGTGGCAGCGGTCGGCAGGTTCGGAGAGGGCCTGTAAATATTTCATTTAAAGATGTCCTGTAATATAGTCCTATCATAATAAAAGTATAATTAGTTATTACTCCACACTGGTACCACATTAATAGTATCTACATTTCACCCACGCGAAGCCGAGGCGGATTGCTAGTATTATTATAAAATGACTTACTTTGACTAACTGACACATTCATCAACACAGAGCCTAAACCGCTGGGGCTAAAATTCAAAACTTTTTCAGCTGATGCTTTTAATGTTGTAAGCATCCACTAAGAAAAGTTTTTGGCAATTTCACCCCTAAGAAGGTAAAATAAGGGATGTACTATTGTATGGAAATTTGCCACTTTCTAATTTCTAAGTTGCAGGCAGTAGATATTCATTGATGTATGTGTTGTATTTGATTTCAGCATCTACATCAACCAGTTCAACTGCTTTGCAATCAGAAATTCAGTTGACTTCATTTTCTGTAGAGGAAAATAATACTGTAGAGGGAAATAATGAAAATTTAGAAATCACTTATAGAGAAGGTAAATATTAAATTTTTGTTTCTTCATAAACCGTTAATATGTTACTAGCCTACATAAAAGTAATGTAGATCTTACCATTTTAATGTCATTGAATCATCAATTTTGGATACTAACTAATTATATATATATGATTTTAAGGCACTAAACCCATTAACGCTGCCAGGAATAAATTTGTGAAACTAAATGCACAATTAAAGGTCAAACTTTTAAAGTTGAGGGAAAAATGCAAGAATCTTAACCAAAAAGTTCGACAAGCTGCAAAAATATCTGAAAGTAAAGCCTTTTTAAAAGCTGTTGAAAAATTGCCCGAACCTGCTGCCATTTTTACCAATATGCAACTAAAAAAGGCATATATCACACCAAGAGGCCGAAGATTTACAAACCAAGAAAAAATTTTGTGCCTGACAATATATAAGCAAAGTCAAAAGGGCTATAAATTATTACAAAGATTGTTTGCATTGCCTTCAATACGGACAATCCAGAAAATCCTGAGCAAAGTAACCATTAAGCCTGGAATAAATGATGTTGTTATGGAACATCTGAAAAAAGCTGTAAAAAAATTACCTTTAGAAAAAAAATTATGCACACTCATATTTGATGAAGTGGCATTAAGGCCCGGGTTATACTACAACACAACTGATGATGAAATTATTGGTTTTGAGGATTTTGGCCCTCAGAAAACCGAAAAGATTGCTGACCATGCACTCGTGTTTATGATTAAGAGTCTGAAAGGCAAATACAAGCAGCCCATTGCTTTTACATTTTGCCAGAGTGCTACTAAAAGTACACAATTAAAGAAACTTATTCAAGATATACTAAAAGCTGTACAAAGCACCGGCTTAAAGGTCATTGCCACTGTGTGTGATCAATCTTCCACAAATATGAGTGTCATAAAAAGCCTAATAAATGACACGAAAAGGAAATATTTATTGGAAGGCAAGGAGTTCAAAAGTTTATCCTTTGAATATAATGGAAGTAAAATATTCCCAGTATTTGACCCACCACACCTCCTTAAAGGATTAAGAAATAATCTTCTCACAAAAAATTTGAGATTCATTCAGAATGGTGTCGTTAAATTTGCTAAATGGGAGCATTTGCAAATGCTGCTGGATGCTGATCCTGGAGAAGACGACATTAGACTAGTAAATAAATTGACCGAGAGTCATGTTGTTCCAGAAAAAATACCCAAAATGAAAGTAAAACATGCAGCCCAAGTGTTCAGTCAGAGGGTATCCGCTACAATGAGATATTTAGCAAGTAAGTATTTTAACTTTAACACTATTTTTGTATTTTTATATTTGTAAACTGCAAATAACCCGTTGACCTAGAATCGCGAAATTTGGTAAAAAGCAAGGTCTTACAGCACAAATAAAGGAAAAATGCCAAAAAATATAAAAATGATGAAAGTTAAAGGGTGTCCCCATACATATTTATGTACATAGTTGACGCCAATTAAGATAGTCCTGTGAGTTGAATGGGCGCTCATACAATTTAGAGGACTAGCTTAATTTGCACTATGCCAAATTTGTATGTTTTTTTTTGTATAATGGGTAGGTTCGGAACCCTCAGCGCACGAGTTCGACTCGCACTTGACCGATTTTTTTTTAAATAGCGACGAATCGGGGTTTAAGGTGGATTCACGATGGAATAAAACTTTAAACAATTTATATTTTTATAGATTTAAGTTTATATACATGAACTAGATGAAGAACTAAAAGATGTATCATTGTAATCATTATTTCCTAAATTTCAGATCATGACATCCTTCCTAAGGAATGCATTTGCACAGCAGATTTATTGTTATTGGTAGACAAGCTGTTCGACTCTTTCAATGGATTCAGTTATGAAAGTAGTCATAAAACATACAAGTGCGCACTAAGGAGAAACTCGGCCCATTTCAAGTTATGGGAAGAATTACTACCAATCATCAGGTCAATGCAATTTAGAATGGAAAAAAAATTAAGAGATGGCACAACTTCGATAAAATTTGAACAAGTGCCATCAATACAAAATTGGATTTCTAACATCAATGTTTTTAAAGAAATGTTTTCATATCTAAACAATATACACAATATAACTAGTCTGTTGACAAGAAACATAAACCAGGATCCATTAGAAAATTTCTTCTGCAATATACGAAGTAACGGGGTTCGTAACACTTCACCAACTTGCTCACAGTTTACTAGTGCTTTTAAAACATTGCTCATAAATAATTTAACCTCATCACACTCGATTGGGGCGAACTGCGAGCAAGATGATAATAAAGCATTAAAACCATTAAAAAGTTTACTGAATTATACTGAGAAGAAATCATTAGAACAACCTTCAGATAATGTTAACGTGGATTCCGTAATAACCCGCTTTATGCAAACCTCAGATATAGAATATAATAATGCGACAAGTAAAGAGGCTAAGAGATATGTTGCTGGCTATATTATAAAAAAAATATTCCAAAAAATAAGTAAAAAATGCCACACTTGTCGTATGCATTTAGTAAGCACAATGCCTCCGAGTAATAAAGATTATATATTAGAAAGAGATTATACCAGAAGATCACTTAATTATCCATCGGAGGCATTATGCGAGTTTCTAGATGAGGTTTGTATAGTAATTCAAACAAAGTTAAATGAGGAACCACACCAAAAACATCTGAAGAGTATAATTAAACAAATTGCAGGTATATTTTGTAATTTTTCGCAGTTCTCTTGTGTAAGCCATAAAGCAGAAGTAATAAATTTTCTAATGGAAAGTGTGACAAAAATTATTATAAACAGCTGGTGCACTAATGTCAACAGAATACTCACAGGCAAAACAAATATTTGTAATAATAATGCTACAAAAATACAAGCGTTAAATTATTATAAGTCACATAAACGAAGGAATTAAATAATATAGACAAAGTGCGAGTACACACTGCGTCCGATCCGTAACCCGTGAAAATACGGCCATATCAAGAGGTATTAAAGAGCATAACATCCAAATACTGACAGACAGCGACACAATGATATCTGGTATTGTCTTCGAATGCTTTCAAGCATTGGAGCAGCTTGCCACGACAAGTGAGGTATTCCACCAATGAATACACACGGGAACGACTCCGCAGATGACTTGACATGGAGAGGCCCGCCAACTCCGGCTACCGGCCTAACCATACCCCTGCCACTGTCTTTCAGCCAACTTCGATCCTGGGCTAGTCAATAATCTTCTCCGGAATAGGGATTTACGGATAACGGAAAGAAATCGGATGTCGGAACTCGGATCTAGTGCGTAAACCACCACAGAAATAGTTCTGCAACTACTTCGGACGTATTTTCACGAGTTCGAATCGAATTCTGATGTGTGCGTTGCCTTTTTTGGATTTTATCTACATAACATGGTAGAGAAAGGGCATCTTCCCTGTAATGACGGGTGCGTTACTCCAGCAAAATGTTGTTTGCTTTAAGGGGTTGAATGATAGTCATAATTAGTCCCACATGTTGTATAAATGTGCCCAATTTCTTAAATGTGTGTCCCCAACTGCTTGATAGTTATTCACGAACATAAGATTCTGCTGGAGTAACGTAACCGCAGCAAAAAAAATGCAGTAACTTAAGTTTCTGGATTTAAAGTAACCAGACTTATAGCTCCTTTCTAAAGAGAGGCCTATGTCCAGCAGCGGACTATTATAGGCTGTTGATGATGATGAAGACTTATACCTTAAAATGTGTGCCCCTATGATTTCCATATTAATTCAATTTTTGCTGGGCTAACGTTTTAATGTTGGTCAAATCTGGAAAACTACTAAGTGCACTAATATGATTTTTTTGTAGGCACAATTTGTACCTCTTTGTGAGCCTCGTTGTTTTTTTCAATAACTTTTTCATAAACGAAATTAGCTTAAGATTTCCAAAGTAGGCAATCTAGAATCCTCATATTATTGAACTACATCTTGTATTTATTCCTAAAGCCCTACAAAATGTTAATAGATATCATACTTTATATTTAGTTACTTTATAATTAGTTGTAACGAATATTCTATTTCCAACAACTCGCTTGCTTATTTTGAACTCCAAATATTTTTAACAATGAGTTAGCGATTCCGTGAATAGTACTTACTAATAAGTAGAGCACTATATCAAATATGTATGGATTAATTTATTTTTATATAGAGTAAAATACCTTATTGCGATTAAAAAATTAGTATATCTAAAAATCATTGTATATATGCGAAGTTTATAAGGGTAATTTCTTTGACTGAAAATGATAATTGAGTCATCTGTGTTCTTATTTTAAGCGTGTTAAAGAATGATTTTTCTATAAATGAAAAGTATTTAGTTAATTCTTTCTTCTAACTAAAGAAAAGTTAGTTCTTTTTTATTGAATTAAATACCAGCTTACACAACAATTAGTATGATTTAATAGTTATATTAATTGTGTTTGCTTACACAATAATTAAAGCTTATTGTAAAAATGTTGTGGAAGCTGTTAATTAGCTAGTAAGCTGGTTTGTAACAATTTTAATATTTTTGTTATAAAAGCAGTGTTAAGTTAATATATGTTATATGTAGGTAGATAATTAACACTATATTTTATACGAGATTATTACTGTGTGAATTGTGATCAGAAAATGATTGCAAATTACGAGTAAATAAATATTTATTTATTGTTTTTAATGTTTTATTTGACTACACATCTTTCCCCACCCGTCAATCTTCAAATAGAAAATACATTAGCTCCATCTAGCGGGCAAGGTATGAGAAACACAGCGCCATCTCTGCGTTAGAGTACACTCGTTTTAATAAATTTGAAACCTCAGTGGCGCATCTATCTTAGATTTATAGTGTTTTGTCTATGGTTCAAACTTTTTCTAGTGATGTAAGCCGGCGGGTGGTGCAGAGATACAAGCGCTGTACCAGAACATCGGCACGCACATAGTTAATCGATATATATATATATATATATATTTTATTTTTATTAGCATTACTTATAAATATTTATAGTTCTTTCGTACTTATGTCTTCAGATAGTGAATATTATGTTTCTGCCAATGAATCTGAAACCTCTTTTAGTGATGATAGCTTCTCTTCCGTAACAGAAACTCTCGGTGGTGTTTTACGCAACAAATTTAGTAGTAACACAAACAGCCAACTATTTAATGTGTGCCATCTAAATGCCCAAAGTGTTCCTAGCCACTACACTGATTTGTATGACGCATTTTGTGATGCTACAATTCATGCCGTTCTGATCTCCGAGACTTGGCTCAAACCGCATCTTCTCTCTACCTCTTACTCCCTGCCCGGCTTTATTCTTATCCGGAACGATCGGATCGGAAATGGGGGAGGCGTCGTGGCTATTTACCTACGGAGTGACTTTTCCTATAGAATTATATCAGCTTCCTCTTCTCATTATAATGCTTCTGCTGAATTCCTATTCTTAGAGGTTTGTGTCAAAGGCGCTAAGGTTGTACTCGGTGTTGTCTATTGTCCCCCTTCAATTGACTATTTCACTGATTTCGAAACAGTTCTTGAATCTCTGGGTGCAGAGTACGCTCATCATGTCATCATGGGTGATTTTAATACCAATCTCCTAGCCCGAAACACCACTCGTTCCTGTAAACTCCAACTCCTTCTTGAGTCGGTCAGCTTTCTTGTTCTGCCATTACAGGCCACTCACCACAATAATGTCAGCGAGGACACTTGGCTCGTCTTAATTATTACCTCTAATCCTTCCCTTGTTTCCTCTCATGGTCAGCTTGACGCTTCCGGATTTTCACATCATGACTTGATTTTCCTCTCCTACGTTCTCAAACCTCCTAAACCCAAACCTAGGATTCTTTACAGGCGTTGCTTTGGACGAATGGATATTGACAAATTGAATGACGATGCGTCACATATTGACTGGACATCCCTGATCGATTCTACTTCTATCGATGACAAGGTGCACGTATTTAACGAAATAGTGACTAAACTGTACGAAATTCATGCACCGGTTAAAAAGGTTAGGCTTATACGATTGCCAGCACCTTGGATGACCAGGGGTATACAGATGGCCATGAGACATCGAGATCGGGCATTTAGGACTTATAAGAGGGACCGTATCGAAGTCAACTGGCAATTGTACAAGTCTGCAAGGAATCGGTGTACCCAAGTGATACGGAACGCTAAACGCCGCCACATTCTAGATAATATTTCCTCTTCATCTCCTGCCGACATCTGGAAGTTCCTTGGGACTCTTGGTATCGGTAGATCGCGACATGTGGACTTTCTACAATCCATAAATCTCGATTCCCTAAACCAACACTTTACCACCTCTCTCACGTTGGACATTGTATCTGAACATAACACCCGTACTTACATAAATAGTCTACCGCGCCCTAACTTAAACCCTTTTCACTTCAGTCCGGTTGTAGAAGGAGAGATTATGCAGATTATTCAATCTATCAGATCCCAAGCAGTTGGTTGTGATGGCATTAGTCGGAAAATGATCACCACATTGCTGGTCCACCTCCTTCCCGCTATCTCCCATATTGTTAACTTTTCTCTCATGTCTGGCACATTTCCTTCTCTGTGGCGGAGAGCGTATGTGCGCCCGTTACCTAAAACTCCCAATCCGTCTCTTCCTACACACTTTCGTCCAATTTCTATCCTTCCCTTCCTCTCCAAGGTGCTAGAGGCCTCCGTCCACAAACAGTTCTCCCACTTCATTTACAGTAACAACTTACTCAGTCCCTTTCAGTCAGGGTTTCGACCAGGCCATAGCACGGCATCTGCTCTTCTTAAAGTGACTGGCGATATTAAGGTGGGGATGGAGAATACTAAGATGGAGAATACTACCTTAGTACTGGTTGATTTTTCGAATGCCTTCAATACCGTCAGTCATGAACTTCTCCTTGCTGTCCTATCCCATTTCTCGGTCTCTCAAGATGCACTGGGCTGGTTTTCCTCTTACCTTCGGGACCGTCAGCAGTCAGTCAGTGTCGAAGATTCTTCCTCTAGCTGGTGTGATCTTACTGCTGGCGTCCCTCAAGGCGGTATTCTTTCACCTCTTCTGTTTTCTATCTTCATTAATCTTATCATCCCAAGACTTCAGTGTTCCTTTCATCTCTACGCTGATGACTTGCAGCTATACTACCAGACAGAGTTGTGCAATGTATCGTCCGCGATTTCGGCTACAAATAGTGACCTGACAGCCATTAAACACTGGTCTGATATGTTTGGCGTATCGGTCAATCCAAATAAATGTCAGGCTATTGTCATCGGGAGTAACCGAGCTATGAGCCAGCTCGACCTTGCCTCACTTCCACCACTTACCTACGATGGCATGGTTATTCCATACTGTGAGAGTGTGAAAGACCTCGGAGTGTATATTGACATAACTCTGAGCTGGCGACAACAAGTTGCATCTGTGTGCCAGAAAGTGACAGGTTCGCTGCGGGCCCTCTGCGGAAGAAAGTTTCTAAGTCTATCTTAGAAACTTTCTTCCATCGAAAACTAAGGTAATGCTTGTTCAGTCTCTTATATTCCCTATAATCGACTATGGTGATATGTGCTACTTTTGACCTGAATGCAGATCTGCTCAATAAGCTTGACCGTCTTCTCAACAATTGCATTCGATTCGTTTTCAATTTACGCAAATACGATCACGTGTCTCAGCATCGCTCTCATTTGAAATGGCTTCCAATTCGCCAACGCAGACAGACACGAGCATTAACTACCCTATATTCTTTACTCTTTT